TCCGAGGATCTCTTAATACCCGATTTTCCCAGGTAATGGGAGGATATGATAATCGCTTAAAACCCCATTTCCTTAGACGTGCATCTCTTTATAAAGAGTCGAAGTAAGTGGCGCTATGTATTCGATTAAATTATTGAAAACCACCAACACGATTAAAAAATAAACATAAATTTATTTTATATTACACTAGGCACATTAACAAAATAAAAGAAGGACAAATGGTGAAGAATTGTATGTACCGGGTGATCGTTCCAAACATCCCTTGACCGATGGTTGGGTTGGTCGTACAAGTCGGTTGGATCCACCGGTCCTTGCTCGAGATAATACCTTTGGTTGTATATATCGACGCCCTCCCCAACCTACGAGAAAATAACTAGGTTAGTACATAGATTAATTAAAAAACTTATAACAACAATAAAAATTAAACCAGAATGATGAGTACATACCGCTTGAAATTCATCGACGTAAACTCCTTCTCCTTGCCACCAATCGGCCATTTTTTCGGCGTAATTCGGACAGAGCTTCGGCTCGGCTCGGCGGGTTTTTGAGGAAAAAACCTAAGAAATATTTTCTGATGGCAGATCGGACTTAGCCGCAACCAACAGACTTTTATTTCCTAGGCTTTTGGGAGGGGAGGGTTTAGAGAGATTATATCTAGAGAGAGAAGGAGAATGGGTTGTGTGGAGTGAAGAAATGAGAGGGGGAGGGGGGGTATTTATACCCAACAGATCGCACCCCTCGGGGGCGGTAGGGTAATTTTACCCCGTAGAAATCGCATCCCCCCGGTGCGATATCCCCGCCAAATCGCATTCCCCAGATGCTATCCCCGCGTCCCGATGCGTTGAACGCGCAGAAAACTGACGCTCCAATTCTCCAGGCGAGAAATCGCACCTCACCAGTGCGATCCACACTCAGTCGCGCGGATTGCTGACGTGGCTATGCTGCAGCCCGTCAGATCGCATCTTAATCGTGCGATCCAGAAGGTCGCTGGCGACCAAACTTGGAACGCATCTTGGGGATGCGTTTTACCATAGAAATCGCATCTTAGGGATGCGATTTATGAAGGAAACGCATTCTAAGGCTGCGTTTCATTTATAAATCGCACCTCTAAGGTGCGATTCATTAAAATAGGTGCTAGTTTTGTAATTAGTTTTGGAAGAGTGCTAGTTTTGTAATTTTTTTTTTTAAAGGTGCTATTTCTGGAAAAAACTCCAAAATAGATTTGATCGATCCGATCGAAATATCAATTATGTATAATCCAGAAACATTATATAGTGTACCTACGTTCTCCATTTCCTTTGGAAGAACACAAGAAAATCAAAGGTGGGGAGGAAAGGAAGAATTCAAAGAAAGTGAGGCAAATGGTCGGTTTTGTAGGGTCAGGGTGGTCGTCTTCAGCTTTTCCAGAAAGAAAGAAACGACGGACCCCAATCATGCGTCACTCACAGTTGTTAATTTTTGTAATCTTTTGCCCAACCCAATGATTTGAACAAGACCCATCTTCATTCTTGGGAAAATTATGCATGATGCAAATATTTGTTAGATCTGATGTTGTTGCGATGGAGCAAGTTCATAGTTGAAACTTGAAAGAGTGATTCACAGAACTCTTAAGTATATATACCAACATCGATCGACACGTACCTGTCAACATGATAGAAAAATTTTAAACCGATGTACATCACCTTGAGTAATTTTGAACACAAAATAATCATTTGAAATTATGCATAAACAAAGTTTTCTGAGATATATCAGTTAAGAGATTGCTAATATGAAAAAAAGATGAGACAAAATTCGCATCATGAGCATATGCGAACACTATATATATATATACAAATGTGCTGTTCATCAATGTGACCAGCTAGGGTTGGCTAAAACGAAGCACCTTCTGTCTGTGAGTCCAGCAGCCCCTCTTTTTTCTTTACGGCTCCAAGCCTTTAGTAACGTTACCAATATCTTTGGAAAAGAAAGACGCACCTGGCTAGCAGCAGGTTTTCCTTTTACCCTTTCCTTGTAAATTCTCACTGACAACAGCCAAAAGAGTCACCTCCCAAAGTGATATTTGCTTGTGCATGGGAAATTATTACCAAGTGATGTTAAAGTTTGTACCACTCCACTATCATGCAATCAGGCTTACAAGTTTAAGCTAAGGCTGTCCATTTAGTTTTGGTTTTTTCGTTTTTAACCGAAACCAAACTAATAAGAAGTTTAGTGAGTTCGGTTCTAAACAGTTTAGCGTCTTAATGATTTTTTTTATTTCAGTTAAAATCGAAAAATCAATAAGAAACCAATAAAAAATCGGTAACATTCTAACTAAGACAATGCACATCAACAGTACATGTGTCACTAACATATGTGTAGAATCTTCTTTCCTATTTTCATGCTTCTTGTTATTTTTTGTACTCCATTTTAGGCTTCCCAAACTATAGGTTTGAGTTTTGGTTTATCCAAACCAAACCAAACCAAAGCTGTTAGTGGTCTTATCGGTTCGTTAACCAATGACCAATAAGCCCCTCAATGGTTGGTTTTGATTTTGGGGAATTTGTCTGATTTTATTTTTGGATTTTCATATATAAATAATTTGATTAACAAAACCAAATCAAACTAACAAACATACTTAATGGTAAGATCCTCAATTAATTTTCTCCCGATAACTTGAGTTATTAGGAGAAGATTAATTATGAATTTTATATCAAATGTAACATTCTCAAAAGTTGTTCAAACTTTTCTAGTTTTAGATGTGGTTTGGATGTGAAATGTAATGCAGTAAAATTACCATATAATGTAGTTATTGGGTTAAAAACACATGTTTGAGAAGCAAGAGTCGTTTGGATGGGGTATTTGTATGAATTATTTGTGAGTTATTTGGGTTCAAATAACTCACAATGAGTTATCTTGACACAAATAACTCGTTTGACAACATTTTACTGAAATGAATTATTTGGACAGTGAGTTATTTACAAATAACTCAAAACAAATTATTTGAAATAACTCGTACACATGTGTTATTTTGAAATAACTCGTTTTACCACTCTGTTTTGACCAAATACCACATGTCAAATACCACATTTGCATGGTTCAACCAAACAATATACTTTATTTCAATTACCACGGAAATACATAGAAATATCACATGAACAATAAATGAGTTATTTGAATCTACAAATACCACATTGACAATTAACCAATTCAAACGACTCTAAGATATGAGAATTGAAACATGAAAATTGGTTTCAATTACCACATTCATGGTAATTGAGAATACCACATCCCTTAGTAATTTGACATTACCACATTTCCCCCTTTTCCCCCAAATTTGTCCCTATGTCAAATACCACTCTGTTTTGACCAAATACCACATGTCAAATACCACATTTGCATGGTTCAACCAAACAATATACTTTATTTCAATTTGTCCCTATGTCTCCTTCCTCTCCTTTCTTCCTTATTAGCTCCATTCACGATTTCTCCATTCTTACAAATGCAACGTTGTTCTTCTTCATTCAACAATGACGGAGAGAGCGGCCATGGACCGGAGATGGATTTGGAGGGAAAGTCTTCAATTGGGTCGGAGCCAATGAGCACTGGGTATAACTGATGTCTGAGGAAGATTGAATGAGACCCGACAGAAAAATTGTTGTAGCTCTCATACCGGTGAAAAATTTCGGCGGCTCCGAGTGTTGAATGTTTGAACGACAATTTTTAGAATTAATTTGGTATTAATTTGTTGAACTCGCACCTATTTCTTGATTGTCCCTGCTTTTAAGTTGTTCTATCGAATTTTTGTTCTGGCTCTAGTTAGCATAAGCTATAATTAGGTGTTTAAATCTTTTACTCTGTTGAACTTCTAGAGATGACTATTAATTAATTAATATTATTAATTATTCCTCAAGGTCGCAATGCAACAGCGTCCTCTGATCGACGGTGTTTAAAGAAACAAAATTTAACAGGAAAACACTATAAAACATGGGGAAAATAATCAACGCCAAACCAACAGGGTAGACAACCAACTTAAAAGTGTTAGATTCTGATTTCTGAAATAATTAAAATATCAAAGGATTGCGCATTATGCCATAATACGTGCATTAACCATTATTAAATTAATCAGCGGAGAATCGTATTATACGACCTCAACGACGCCACAACGGGTCATTTTTTTAAATATTGTGTTATTTTGAAATATTTTCTTCTCACTTCTCTGGGCCGGTAGTTTGGGCCTATTCGTGGGCCTTGAAATCAATCTGTACAAGTGATCGAGAATAGAGGTGGCAATTAGGATCCAAATCCATGAATCCAATCCAATCCATCCACCAAATTATCCATCTAATCCAATCCATTTGATCCAAATCCAATTGGATTGGTGGATTCATGGATCAATCCATGGATCCAAATGAAAAATTACGATTTGGTACCTATATTTTTATATTTTACATTTTGGTACCTAAAATTTATATTTTTATACGAAAAATATCATTGGAAATTTACATTTTGGTACCTAAAATTTTTTATTATGACATTTTAGTACCAAAACTTTTCAAATTTTACATTTTGGTCCAAGCCTTGGATGTCATTTGGATTCATGGATCAATCCACCAATCCATTTGATCCAATCCATGAATCCACCAATCCAATCCACGAATCCGATCCAATTGCCATCTTTAATCGAGAGTAAACTGTGCCTGTAAAACTGTGTTCGGAAAAGGAACGGGATTTGGATCCATTCCCTGCCATAGAAACAGAGCTCATCCTTTCACTTATGGTGAAACGGTAGTAATAGCCGTAGCAGTGAATGTGCTCGTAAAACACACGTAAATAAACTGCGTCCAAAACATGTTACACTTGGTAGAGCACGCAAGGTAAAGAAAATATGTGCTGTCGCGAGTTAAAAATATGCTCGACGAGTGAGCACACGCATATTGTTAGTTGATTATGTCGATCGCTGGACATAACGATCCTGGAAATGTTTCAACTTTGATGTCCATGGAGGAACACATCTGGTAACATAACCACAGAAAACAGCATATGTCTTTTCACTAGATCAAAGTACAAAAGTACAACTGAGACTTCTTATGTACAACAACATCAACAAACAGCAACAGCAGCAAGGTTGGCATAGTCTTTCTAGCCATAAGCTGGCATTCAAATGCCATACTACAATAATTTACTAGTTCTTCTTCTTCTTTTCTCAGCAGATTATTCAAAGCAAAAATAGATATAAGATCGTAAATAGAAACAAGGAACCACTACCTAAGCCAAGGTAGAATGACTCAGAAGCAGAATCCACCGCTGGCTGCCCCTACGGCGAACTCAGGATGGTAATGCAGCATCTCCTGCAACATCGTCTCGCGTATCATCTCCTCCCCCAAATCCTCATCGATGTCAAGATCGATAGGCACCTGGGCCGGAGGGTTATTGTTAGGATCATAGAGTGGGGACAAGTAAGGGTGCTGCAGTGCTTCGGTCACGGTTATCCTCTTCGAAGGGTCGAAGATCAGCATCTTCCTCAGCAGATCAATGGCCAGGGGATGAGCATTGGGGTAGAGGTGGTTGAATGACGTCCCTGGTGAATACGGAATCGACTTGATGAACTTCTTCGCCTTGATGTTGTCGATGAACTCGAGATCTTCTTCCCTCTGGCTACCTAATATGTTGATGATGAGCTTGAGCTGGTTTAGGCATTCCGTCCCCGGGAAGAGAGGCTTACGACCGAGTAGCTCAGCGAATATGCAGCCTACTGACCAGACGTCGATCGAGGTCCCATAGTTGTCGCAGCAGAGGAGGAGTTCGGGTGCTCGGTACCACCGTGTGACCACGTACTCAGTCATGAACTGGCCCTTGCCTGTGCTGGTTCTCGCCAGGCCGAAATCACAGATTTTGAGGTCACAGTTTGCGTTGATGAGAAGGTTCCCGGGTTTCAGATCACGGTGGAGGATGTTTGCTGAGTGAAGATACTTCAGGCCTCGTAGCAACTGGGAGCAATGGAGAAAAGATGCTATGAGTTATGCATAAACAGATGGGCAAAAGTTAAGAAAAGTATGTATTGTAGAACGCATGGATTTTAAGAAATCATGTATCTTGTATATGGAGATTGTAAGAATGTGTGTGCAATGTATAGAATACCATGTATTGGTTTGGTACAAGGGAACAATCCCTGGTAACCAAACGATCCCTAATTCATCTAAACAGAGGTTGAAATTGATGCACATTAGTAAAGAACAGCAAACAAGGTTATCATCATGTTATCAAGGCATGGCCTTAGATAGTACGAAACGAACTAACAAGCAACGAAGCAGAATATAACAGCATTTCAGCCTTCTTATGGACTTAGATCGTAACACCATCTTCAGGAGCAAGACAAATGAAACTGGAGACTATAGTTGAACTAGAAAGAGAGAGCAACAGTACCGTGCTAGATCTCTAAAGCACAAATGAGCCAAATGATTTCTAAAAATAGAATCAAATTAAGGATTAACTACTTTAATCGCCATTTTAAGACCATCTACTATTGTTAGGTGAATTGGTTGGAGGGTGAAACATTTTCTTAATTTCCATGCTAACCTAAGCTTCAGGAATTGTTTCATTAACTTTCTCATCTAATCTAACCCGATTTTTCGACACTGAAACCAGATAGAAACACCCCTGGATGTGTCTGTCAATCAAGGCACATTCCATCAATATTGCAATAGGAAACTTCAAAATCAAATCAACCCGGCAGTTTAATTGTATCTGATCATTAGTAATAGTTAGTGCAACTTCCACAAACTACATTATGAACAGAATGAAGAACACTTATTAGTCAGAGAACATCCAATATGCAACCAAATTGAGAATGATGCTCCTATCTTAACACGCATAACTATTCACAATCTTTCATTCATAGGCAATGATAGTCTTCTGTTGCGATACCTGGAAGAGGAAGTACTGGCAGTGATCATTACTAAGCGACTGAGACGACTTGATGATCTGATGGAGATCGGTGTCCATCAATTCATAAACCAGATACACATCCTTGAAACTCCTCTTATGTATCGGCATCATCACGTCCTTCAAAGCAATCACATTCTCGTGTCGAAGATGGCGAAGGAGCTTCAGCTCGCGGAGAGTCCTCAGAGCATCGATGCGATTGTCAAACACATTGTGTATCTTCTTGATCGCTACTTTCTCGTTAGTCTCCCTGTTGACTGAAGAGCAGACTATACCATAAGCCCCTCGGCCGATCGGCTTTATCGGCACGTATTTGGTGTCGATCTCGAACAAGGTCTGCCACATTGAGTAGTGATGCTTGCCTTGAATCCTCACCCCGTTTGGCGGCTCAACTGGAGTCGCCATTTTCCTGCATATTGAATCAAAGGGGGGAAATGGAAGAAGAAGAGAAAAAAAATTAAAGATCACATCTTTGATCGAATTGTATACTGCCCATCAGAATTCAGTCAACAAAGGTTCGAAATTTTGATCTGGGTTCTGCAGAAACATAAATACCCATCACGGGAAAGAGCGCCGGAAAGTAAAAAAGTTGCCAAAAAACTTGACTTTTTTCTGGTACAGTAACTGCAGAAGTTTCCCCGACTTCCCCAGAAGGGAAATTTTCAATTTCTCGAGAAACAATCAAAGCAAAGGAAAGAAAAGAAAGGGAAACTTACTTTCGATTACACTGCAGTAAATCTCCCCGAGTTCTTCTTCTTCTTCCTTCTTCCTTCTTCCTTCTCCCGGCGACCGTTACTCACCGGAAGTAAACCTCTGAGTTCAAAATTCCCCGGCGGCGACCCACACCATCCAAAATTCGTCTCCCCGAAATCCGCCGGCCGTCGAGATCAAGGCAGCAATTCCGATTCGCAGCAAATCAAACTCAGAATTCCGCTTCGCGCCATGGCTAATAAGGATCCTGATTGGAGTTGGCAGAGGCTTGATCGGGATCCGGCTGCTCGCCGTTAAAGTGGGGTCTCTGTTTCTTCTCTTAGTTATTCTTGTGCGCTCTTTCCAACTGCGACTTTCGGTGAGGTTTTGCGCTGGCGTGAAGATTCGTTATCCCTTTCGTATCAAAGAGTGTTAAAAGCTCAGTTAAAAATGCTTTTCTGAATAAAATTAGGGAACGCAGGCAAGCAAAGGCGAACGAAGAAGAAATTGAAAACCCCTTGAGAAAAGAAAATATCTGATTGTTAAAAAAAGGTAAAACAGAGAGGATGACGAGGGAGTTTGACAGTTTGTCCTGTGCCGGCGAGTAATTTGTAGAGTATTTATGCTCCTGATCGGGAAAGGAGATCGATAAATCTCATGTGATGTGTCTGCTAAATTCAAATAAAACCAAAAGCTCATGAGTATATGTTTGAGTGTTCTTTCAAAGTTTAGCCTCAATACCATCATTGTGACAGGAAGCATTCCAACGTTTTCGAAGTGTCAAGTATGGTTAACAGCGAGAGTCTCGTTAATTTTGATCGTGGATGTGCTAAATTCTTGCCCATGTCAAATGGGAAAGATAAAGATAAAAGAGAGATAAATTACGTTCAGTCATTTATCTCATTTCATTTTCTAAATTGATAGTGATTGTAGTTGTTCGATTGCAAATTTGCAATAGACTTGTTTTTTTTTTCCGCTAAACAATCTAAGTGAGAGAGAGAACAAGCTTGCAAGAGTATTCGTTTCAATTTGTAAATGTTCAACAGAAAATGTGGATTCGATGTGATAACTATATGATGTGGTTATTAGTCCACACAAGACCCAAGTATGCAATGTTATTTTACTATGATAGTTTGTGTGTGTTATGTAGTGATGGCAAAGAGGCACAGTGGAGTAGATGTTTCAATATACATACTCATCCCGTAATAAGTGCAACTCCTACTATTGGATAAAAGAAATAAAATAATTTGGAAAAAGACCTCATCCTTAGCTCTCTGAAATGCTCTCCGGAAAAATCATCTCCGACCAAACGCCGGCTCAGGCTCTGGCTCTGTCAGGCCGACCGCCGGATCCCCATTCTCTACCAGACTCCTCTCTGAATCCGTCTCCGACTCCACATCCGAACCTCCCTCCCCTGAATTACAGATATGCGCTAACCGGTCCCGTCAAAGAAACCCCAGCCAAAATGAACCAATGGGCCTTCGTGGGCGAACACGATTTGGAAGTTACCTCCTTCGGTGGAGAACCGGAACTCAAGGTTTCCGCCCAGTTCAAAGAAAGACTCTGTGCACCATGGAAGAAAACGCTTGTGGTCAGGCTGCTGGGTAGACCAGTAGCGTACTCCTATCTGTGCTCGCAACTCCGGTGGAAATGGCGCCCGACAGGAAGCCTAGATATCATGGACCTCAATAATGAGACGTTTCTCGTCACCTTCAATAACGATCAAGACTATCTCAACGCGCTCACCGGCGGACCGTGGGTAATCCTTGACCACTACCTTATAGTCCATCAATGGTCACCCTCTTTCCGCACCTCAGACAAGCCGCATCGTTCAGTGGTGGCCTGGATCCAGCTGCCGGAATTGCCAGTACACTTCTATCACCGGGAGGTACTCTTCGCACTGGGAAATCTGATCGGAAGGACAGTGAAGCTGGATTACCACACGGAACATCTCGAAAGGGGGAAATTTGCTCGACTTGCTGTGGAGCTGGATATGTCGAAACCATTGGCTACGCGCATTCGTTTAGACGGCTTCTGGCAACAAGTGATATACGAGAATTTGCCAGAAATATGTTTCAATTGTGGGCGAATCGGCCACAGAGAAGCATCCTGCCCGAATAACCCAGGAACGCCAGCCACGAGCCAGTCATCATCTAGCATCCCAAGTCAGCCTGCCCAGTCGCCGGAACCCGCCGCCGGCTACGGACCGTGGATGCAGGTCATGCGGAAATCGCGGAAGCCCAACAGGAAAGGCGCGCAAAATCAGAACACAGGATCAGAACGGAATAAAGGCGGTAATCTGGGGAAGGAAAAATCCAAAGTCATGGCTCCAATCAAGGAAGATCATGCTGGGGCTAAGGCTAGCAAGGAAGGAAAAGGTAAGGCAAATCAAAAATCAGAACCAAAAAAGGGAATTTCCTGCGGCCAAAATGGGAAAGTTATTGGGGAAAGCTCTACCTCGTCCCAAAGCCAAGGAAACCAAGCTGGATTGGAGACTCGCGTCTGGCGTGCTATTGGGCCTCAAGCTGATTCTAAGGCCCCTCTAACCCACTTGGGCTTAACCCATCAGGGTACCTCTGGGCCAAATCAGACAGACCCATCAGCTGGAATACCCATGGACACCGCTTCTCCCAAGCCCACGCCCGGAAACAGCCTACCGCCGATGGTCATCCCCGACGAAATGAAGAATAGAGTAGCTACCACTCCCGATCTGCAGAAACCTTCCATTCGTCACCACTACCAGGGGAAAAAAGCAAAAAAAGATTCTGAACCACCTTTGAAGGAGAAGATGGCCTGTCTACAAATGCGACCGGCGAAGAAGCCCCCGAACTCTCCCTCGTTAAAGAAGAAACTCAAGAAAAGAGTTCAGGAATCTTCGCTCCAGATTAATCCTCAAGCTATTGCAGACTTCGTGGCCTCTTCTCTGCTCAAAGCCAAGGAATTTCACAATCAGACAGGCGTTCCAAACAAAGATGTCCTCATGCTAGAGAACCAGGAGCCAATTGTGAAACCGACCCAGCCGGAAAACCTCGAGTCGCTGGGACAGCCCGCGATAGCTGACTCTTAGCGCTGCTGCGCTTCCCTCTCCCCTTCCCCTTTTCTTTATGATGCGTTTTTTCTCTTGGAATTGTCGAGGGGCGAAAAACCCCAAATTTCTTGCTGTTTTTAAGGAATATATGCGCACCTATCGTCCGAATATAGTCTGTATTGTCGAACCGCGTATTAGCGGTAAAGATGCTCCGGATGTCATTCGTATGATGGGTTTGATAGTTCTGAGGTGGTGGATGCAGTAGGTTTTTCTGGGGGAATTTGGATCCTCTGGAATGCCTCAAGCTTCTCCATCTCTTTCCTTGATCGTAGTTCTCAATTTCTCCATTTTCGCTGTCTGGATGTGCAGGTTGGTCAGGAGGTTCTGGTGACTGCTGTCTACGCCAAGCCTAATGAACACGACCGCCGACCGCTCTGGGATGCTATCCGGAGATTGAATCATAATATCTCAGAACCTTGGATGTTAGCCGGCGACTTTAATTCCATCTGCTGCCCGTCTGAGAGACAAGGGGGAGCTGGTTTCGTTCCTAATAGAACGGAGAGTTTCAACAGCTGCATCAACGATTGTGGTCTGATCGACATTGGGTTTACGGGTCCGAATTTCACCTGGGTCAAAGGTGGCCTTTCGCAAAGGCTTGACCGGGCCCTTTGCAATGAGGAGTGGATGCAGAGCTTTCCAGACACATACAATACCCATCTACCCCGGCTTCGCTCGGATCATCGGCCAATCCTTATTTGCAGCGCTAACAACCAAGCCCAGAAGCATCATAAGCGGCCCTTCAGGTTCCTGGCGTCGTGGCTAGCTCACCAAGATTTCCACCCAACCATAGACAAAGCTTGGAAGAAAGGGGCAGATTTCCTCACCTCCTTACAAGAACTCCAACACACTTTGCGAGTTTGGAACAGAGACATCTTTGGAAATATATTCAAAAGGAAAGAGATGCTCACAAAGAAGCTGGCTGATGCGGAAGCTCGTAATGATATATCTCCAGACTTCATCTCTCTCCAAGAAGAAGCTAAAGTCAGGGAAGAGCTTGAGCAGACGCTTTGGCAGGAGGAACTCCTTTGGATACAGAAGGCGAGAGCTAACTGTATTGTGAATGGAGATAAGAACACGAAGTATTTCCATTTGACCGCCCTAGCCCGTCGAAGACGGAACAAAATTATCAAGCTGCAAAACGAGGATGGATCTTGGGTGGAGGACTCGGAGGTTCTTGAAAAAATGGCCAGAGATTTCTACATCAATCTCTTCACGGAGGATGATTATGAACGGCCATCCATTACAGCTCGCTTTACTCCTTTGGAAGAGAGATGCACCAGAAATCTTGCGACCATCCCTACTGAAGAGGAAGCCTGCAGCATTATTAAAAGTATGGGAGGCCTCAAAGCTCCCGGCAAAGATGGTTTCCACGCTCTTTTCTATCAGAAATGTTGGGGTGCTATTGGCAAGGACTTCCATGACCATCTAGTCCGGTGTTTCAGAGATCCTGGGCGCATTTCTTTGTGCAACACGACCCTCCTCACTCTACTACCTAAGGTTGATGTGCCGAAATCTATGGCACAATTTAGACCAATTGGGTTATGTAATGTGAGTTACAAGGTCATAGCAAAGTGTCTAGCCGACAGACTGAAGAACCTAATGCCGCATCTAGTGGATGAGAACCAGACCAGTTTCGTGCCGAAAAGGCACATCACCGATAATATCATCATTCTTCAGGAAGTCATTCACTCTCTCAGTCTGATGAAGGGCAAGCAGGGCAGTATGGTTCTGAAGATCGACCTGGCTAAAGCTTATGACAGGATCAATTGGGAGTTCCTTCAGGCTACCTTGCTCGCCGCTAGCCTCCCGACAGAATTTGTGAAGCTGGTAATGGCCTGTGTCACTTCAGCCAGTTTCCAAATTCTCTGGAATGGTAGCTCCACTGAACCGTTCACGCCTTCTCGTGGCTTACGGCAGGGATGTCCTCTTTCTCCCTACCTTTTTACTTTATGCATTGAACGACTTAACCACTGTATCAAGGAGTCGGTTGGCCAGGGAGCCTGGAAACCTTTAGTCTTGTCTAAGAATGGACCACCTCTCACCCATCTCTTTTTTGCAGATGACCTCGTGCTGTTTGCAGAGGCGGATACGAAACAAGGGGCTGTCATTCTGAACTGCCTCAATAGCTTCTGTGAAGCCTCTGGCGAGCAAATAAGCAAGGAGAAGTCGTGTGTTTTCTTCTCTAAGAATACGAAGGATGGTACCAAGGCTAGGATCAGCAGGCTTCTGGGCATGAAACAGACCAACAATCTGGGCAGATACCTCGGCGTGCCGGTCATCCATGGTCGCGTCACTATTAACACCTACAAGTATATTCTGGAGAAATTGGACCAACGTCTGGCCGGTTGGAAAACCAAAAGCCTCTCCCTGGCTGGGCGAGTTACCCTTGCCGTTTCCGTGCTGAATGCTCTACCGAATTACGTGATGCAAACTGCAGTTCTACCTTGCCACATTTGTGATGTGATTGACAAGAAAATCAGAAGATTTGTTTGGGGAGCTGATGAAGGGAGCAGTAAAGCCCACTTAGTCTCCTGGGAGACTATCTGCAAACCCAAAGATGAGGGCGGTCTTGGCTTACGCTCGGCTAGAGCTTTAAACCTAGCCTATCTTATGAAATTGGGCTGGAACTTTCTAAATAATGAGAATGCCCTTTGGATTAGGATTCTGCAGGATAAATATACTCAGCAGAATGAAGATGGCAGTGTGACCTTGCGACGCAACCGTGTCTCACGTTTGTGGAAGGGTATCATGGAGGCTCTCCCCTTAGTGAAACAGGGAATCGTTTGGGATATCCGGAGCGGGGAGAATGTTAAGTTCTGGAGCGATGCCTGGGTTGCGGAAGGCATTACCCTCCTTGACTTCGTGGAACATTTGGATGACGACATCGACTGGGGAGCCTCGGTGGCAGATATGACGGATGCCGCAGGTGAGTGGAACTGGGCCATTATCCGTCCTCACCTCCCTAACAATTTAATTATGTTGATTGCAGGTACGGACCCTCCATGCTCCAATGCAGGCGAGGACATTACCACCTGGGGTTTGGAAGCTGACGGACGGTTTCGTCTCCGCTCAGCCTACCTACCTGCTGCTGATTGGATCAGTCACAACGACGAATCAGCAAATCAGGACACGTCGCAGCCGCAATGGAAAAGCATTTGGAAGTGGGATGGCCCAAACCGCATTCGCCATTTCCTCTGGCTGGTGTTCCACAACAGATTAATGACGAATTGCGAAAGGAAAAGAAGGAAACTTTGCACCCAAGACACCTGTGAACTTTGCAAGACAGCGCCAGAGTCAACAGAGCATATCCTCCGCCAATGCCCTGCTACTACCCAGGTATGGCAACATATTGGAATTGCAGACAGCAGCCTAACGATTGCCCTCAACATGACAGATTGGATGGCAGAGCACTTAAAGAACCCGCAGACGAGTCTCCTTTTTGGTGTGGCAGCCTGGTACCTGTGGAAAAGACGGAATGAGTGGATTTTTCAAGGAAAGCAGCAAGATGCCGCCACCCTCGCACAGCGAATTCAAAGCTGGACCCGGACTATTGTAGAGGCCCAGGACAACAATGCAAGGATCCAGGTCGGGCACAAAAGCAAAGAAGCGAAGGAACTGTCTTGGGAGCCACCACCGCCGGGTTGGATTGCTATCAACACAGACGGATCAGTCAAGCAACCAGATTCAAGAGCAGCTGCTGGGGGTCTTCTGCGGGACCACCTGGGACGTTGTATAGGAGCATTTGCCTCTAACTTAGGCTCATGCACAATCACAAGAGCGGAATTGAAAGGCGCGCTGCAAGGCCTGCAACTTGCTTGGAGTCAAGGTCATAGAAGAATCCAATTGCGGACTGACTCCACCACAGTTCTCAACATCCTGTCCTCGCCAGAACCGTACAATGGAAGATACCAGGGCCTCATGAGACAGGTTCAAAGACTTCTACAGCAAAATTGGGAGGTTACTATCTCTCATACGTTCAGGGAAGGCAACAAGTCAGCTGACTTTCTTGCTAATAAAGGTCACTCTCTTGATATAGGCGTTCATACCATTAGTAAGCAGGATTCGGGGCTTATGTTTTGGCTCCTGTATGATTCGATGGGCATTGCCCAAACTCGTTTAATTTAAGTGTCAGGCAGGGACGCCCTTTTAGCGTCCCATTTTCCCACAAAAAAAAAAGAAATAAAATAATTTAAGGAATAATAACACTAAAATTATTATATTTCACGAAATTGTCATTTATATTCCATTCTTTTTAATATGATAGTTGGATTTCGAGTTTTCTAATTCGTTAAAGTCAAACTCTAGTAGTCAACAATCAATGTGCGGATTGCTCACCTCCCATTTACACAGAAAGACATGTAGGTGTCACATAGTCATTGGTCAAACATACTTTGACCTCTGCTAGGCCAACGGTTGATTCTAATATCAACGAAAAATTTGAGCACATAAATGACATTAGTTTAGTTTGGCCCTGCTGTAGCTTTTGTAGAAGCAGCTTCTGATTGGAATTTTTAGATAAGTACTTTTCAAAAAATCAGTTTAGTGTTTGGCTGTAAAACTATTAGAAATGTTTTTTAATATGAGCGGTTGTGTAAAATGACTATAAAGGACTTATATTTTAATATAAAATATGAATAAAAATTCTAAACAATAAAAAGTAATCAAAATTGCTGCCTTCGCCTATGAGTATGATACATGTTCAATATTTCTTTTTTTTTGTGGGTAGAAAGGTAGACGCATTGCGTCTAGTTTACATTAACATAACGATCATGGGAAGTCCCCAAAACATCATGGTTGAGCCATTGAACAAGGTCTCTAGCGCACACATTGAAGTGATGTGTGCCAAAATCAAATCGTGAGCCTTGCTGGCCAAGTAATCGGCCGCAAAATTGGCTTCCCTAAACACATGGGAAACACAAACCTCCCAATCAAGACTAAAAAGTAAATCAAACTGCTTGGCAATGTTTCCATGCCAGTGATCATCTCTATGACATTGTTTGATGATGTCAACTGCAGTTGTAGAGTCTAGCTTTAGCTCAATCTTGCGGTAGCCTTCATTCCAAGCAATTTTTAGGCATTCCAAAGCACCTTTGAGTTTAGCAGCCGTGATAGAACATGAACCCATATTGCAGACATAGGCCCCTTTGCATCTTCCCAAGTAGTCTCTGAAGAGGCCCCTGCTGCTGCTTTCCCTGTCTGAGTGATAACTGATCCATCGGACTGGATTTGAATCCAACCTTCTCTGGGGGGGTTCCCAGCAAACAAGTCTGCTCTGGACAGTAGCAGAGTTAGAACAGGTGGTCTTCTGCACGTTACTTTTGGCTTGTTCAACAATGCAGAACCACGCTTGAATTCTAACAATTAAGCCGTTTTTGGAGAAGGTTTTGCCTTCCATCACATCCTCATTTCGTTGTTTCCATAGATGCCAGAAAATGATGCCAAAATCAATATTTGACCTAGCTGAAACTATATATAATTTAAGAAAAGGAAATAGAGGAGAACTATTACTTGATATTGAGACAAATCGTAGTCGAACTGATCGAGGAGAAAAAAGGAGTACATGACAAAAGTAGTACTTGCCCCACACAGGCACACTACTACGTACGACCACTTTGTTTGAAATACCGGTTCTTCATATGTTTCCCTCATCTTTTAACAATCTAATTTTTTTTTGTGAAAAGGTGCAAAGCACCGCAACCTCAATTAAACAATCGAACGAACGGTAAACCCGCCCACAGAGTCATACAACAACCAGTGACTAATGTAAGGATCCTGAGGATCAACAAGGTGGGTTCCCGGGCTAAGAGAATGGCCTAAATGCGCCAAATGGTCAGCAAGGACGTTAGCTTCCCTGTAAACATGGGTAACTCTGAGTTCCCAATCCCGCTTCCGGAGTTCATGAAAAGAGAGCACGAGGATGGCGTGCTGGTTGTCAGTCGAGGCAGTCTCAGAAAGAAGTCGAACCGCCATAGTGGAATCCAATTGCAGTTCCACTCTTCTGTAGCCAAGGTCCCAGGCAAGTTGCAGACCTCGTATGGCGCCCCAAAGCTCCGCGCGAGTGATTGAACATCTCCCCAGATTCATCGAGTAAGCCCCCAATAAGCGACCCTGCCCGTCTCTAAGCGCACCTCCTGCAGCAGTAGACCCCGAGTCCCGCAGGAGCGAGCCATCGGAGTTCACTGTGAGCCATCCTGTCGGAGCTGGTCTCCACCCAACAGCCACGTCTGGACGCAGCCCCGACCTCCCCAGCGATATAGTTTGTTCTGCTGCTCTGCTTTGTTGCGCGACGACCTCCCAGGCTAGGATCCTTTGGGATAACTTATTGGGTGCCTCCTCGATGCCTGCGAAAATGTAATCATTCGGCGAACGCCATAGGAACCATATGGTAAAGCCAAACCGAACCTGAGACTCTGTGTTCGAGAGAAAATGCATGAACCAGTCGTTGAATTCCCTTGTGTCCGCGCTCGCTGCTGCCTCCGGAAGGGTTGCGTCCCAAACTTGCCTCGCGAACCTGCATGTACGAAACACGTGCTCCGGGGACTCCGAATCCTGCTTGCATCGCTGGCAGGTCGTGCTTGAAGCCAGATGGCGTCGTCGTCGTTCCTCATTGGTCAGGAGCACGCCATGGGTCGCCAGCCAGAGGAAATGTCGAACCCGGCTCGGGCCAGGCCATTTCCACACCGCTTTCCACCCTGCGTGTGCCTCGTCTCCATCGATCGCCGCCACGAGCTGGTATGCTGACTTAAGTGTGAATTTGCCATTGTCCTTCAGTCCCCATACTAGCTCGTCCTCCCCGAGCTCCGGCTGCGGCGGCGGCATCCCAATCACCTGCAAAAACACCTCGTTAGGAAGGATAGAAGATAAGAGAGCAGAATTCCACTCACCGGTCGAGGTAGCCATGCTTGCGACCGAGGCCTGCAAGTCAACTCCCCTAGCCGACGGCAGCAAGTGATCCGCCAACACCATATTGCCATCCACCCACTTATCCTGCCAAAACATTGTCTCTTTTCCGTCCCGAATACTCCATCGCACGCCCTCCAGCATCATACCCCACACACGCCGCACTCCACGCCAAAGCTGAGAGCATCGGGTCTTTCGCCGGAGCTCCACTCCATCTGGGCCCTCCCGGAGATACTTTTCCTTCAACACCCGAACCCACAGCTCCCCCGGCTGCTTGAGAATTCCCCAAGCGAGCTTCAAGAAGTAGGCGGTGTTTAGATCTCGCGCGTTCTGTAGCCCCAGCCCGCCTTGATCTTTTGGGAGGCAGATCGTTTCCCAATTGATCAAATGGATGCGCCGCCGACCTTCTTGAGAGCCCCAAATGAACGCCCTGATCTTGCGGTCCAGGTAATCGCATATTCCTGCTGGCAGCATCGAAGTTTGCATAACATAAGACGGAATGGCATTCAGCACTGATATAGCAACCGTAACCCGACCTGCAAGAGACAAGTTCTCCGCTTTCCAACTTGCAAGACGTTGGTCAATGCGATCAATGATATATTTATAAGTATGTTTCGTCACCCGGCCATGCAGAACAGGTAAACCAAGGTATTTCCCCAGGTCCTGTGTCATCGGGATTTCGAGATGTTTGCTAATCTTCTTACAGACGTCTCGTTTGGTATTCTTCGAGAAGAACACTCGAAACTTATCTGTACTCACGATTTCCCCCGATGCCTCACAGAACCTCTGCAAGCAAGATCTGATCACCTCCGCTTGCTCCACAGATGCCTCAGCAAAGAGCACCAGGTCGTCTGCAAAAAAAAGATGGGTTAGCTCAGTTCCTCCCCGAACCAGTTGGATTGGTGTCCACCGCTTCCTATTCAGCTCCTCCTGGATTAAGTGGCCCAGACGCTCGATACACAAGGTAAAAATGTAGGGGGAGAGCGGGCACCCCTGGCGGAGCCCCCTGGACGGCTTGAAAGATTCCGTCGTAGCACCGTTCCACAGGATCTCGATCGTTGAGGATGTTAAGCAGGCAATGACCGCATTCACAAACCTCTCCGGTAACCCTGCAGCAAATAACGTACTGACCACGAAGCTCCAGCTCAGCCGATCATATGCCTTGGCCAGGTCAATTTTGATCACCATCTGCCCTTTCTTCCCTGTCTTCATGCTCATAGTATGAACCACCTCCTGAAGAATGATGATATTACTCTGTATGTGCCGACCGGGAACAAAGCTCGTTTGATTGGGCATAATGAGTTGCGACATCAAGGGCTTCAGCCTGTTGGCTAAGCACTTCGTAAACGTTTTATAGACAACGTTACAAAGACTTATCGGTCGCAGGTCGGAAACCATCTCAGGGCACTTCTTCTTAGGTATGAGCACCATAAGCGTCTCATTCATAGATGCGACCAAATCCGGGAACCTGAAGCAGTCCATGACAAATTGGGAAAAATAGCCACCGACCGTTCCCCAGCATCTTTGGAAGAAGAGAGGTTGGTACCCATCCTTCCCGGGGGCTTTATAGGGCCCCATGCTCTTTAGTGTTGTTACCACCTCGCTCCCAACCAGCTCAGCATCGAGGTTGGTCATGTCATCGAGGGAAGGGAAAGCCGGAACCAAGAAGTCCACAGGATTCGACTGGTCCGTGAAGAGGGTGCGAAGGAAAAGACTCACCATCTGCATCATCTCCTCCTCACTCTCGGTCCACTCCCCGTCCTCCCGCTTGAGCCTCCGGCTGCGGTTGCCACTTCTCCGTTTTAGCGTAGCAAGATGAAAGAAGCGAGTATTCAAGTCCCCCTCAACAAACCACTGCGCGCGAGCCTTCTGATACCAGAGAGCAGCCTCATGCCTCAGCGTTTCCTGTAGACTTTGCCGAACCTCCTCCTCT